ATAATCGAGATAAATTCGAAAATCTTCTCGTTTGGTGCCAATTGTAGACTATATATTTTGCATTTACCGGCCACTTCATCGAGCCTTGAGAAAAATTGACCTAAGTCAAAATTCTCATTAGTAAATAAATCATTGATATATATATACGCAATTATCGATTTACCTCTTTTGATGTAACATCTTTCAGGGGTAATCTTTAATTTACAATATTTCCTGACGTCAGTGTTATTTAAAGGAACGTATATATTGGGCTTATTATATATTTGATGATGCTTATTTAATTTACTACCTGTGCATGCTGTGTCTTTTTTATGTGTCATTGAACGTGTTGTTATTCTGAGTACTTTAGCTACTGACTCAGTAATTTATTTTAGATTGTCTATTGTTATTCGCGATAAAGCATCCGCGATATAATTATCTTTGCCCCTAAGATATTCAACTGTGAATTCATATTCCTCTAGATCAAGTCAATTTAGAACTAGGATTTCTCATTGAAAATAAGTATGTTAGTGGTCTGTGATCCGTACGGTCAAGAAATTATTTACCGTATATGTATGGCCTAAAGTGTGTAATAGCCCAGTGAATTGCTGTTAATTCTTGTTCAATGGTGGATTTATTGCTTTCTCCTTTTGTGAAGGATTTGTATGCATATGCAACTGGTAGGTGTTTTCCTTCGTGCACTTGAGTTAAAACTGCCCCACAAGCATACTTGCTTGCGTCTGTAGTTATACAAAACTCTTTCCCGAAGTCAGGGTATTGCAGTAATGTTGGGCTTATTAATGCTTTCTTCAAATAATTAAATGCTTTTTCACAATCTTCAGTCCATTCGAACTGTACATTTTTTTTTTGTTAGTCTCGTAATGTGACTAGAATGGTGCGAAAAGTTTTTGATAAACCTTCGATAGTAATTGCAAAAGGCTACGAATCTTCGTGCGCCATCTGCGTCAGTAGGTTGTGGATAATTCTTGATTACTGAATATTTACTATCGTCTGGTAGTATCCCTTTATCAGTACACTTATGTCCTAGATATGTTACTTCCGTTTTAAAAAATGAACATTTTTCGGGGTGTAGTTTGAGATTGTGTTTTCTACATAATTCAAAGACATTAGTTAAATTTGAAAGCATGTGCTTCTCAGAGCATCCTAATACGACTAAATCGTCCATATATAAGAAAGCTTGATCTGGTTTTAAACCACTGAAAGCAAATGTCGTCATTCTTTGGAATGAGTTAGGTGCTATTTTTAGTCCATATGGAAGTCTAGTGAATCTATATGATCCATTGTACATTGAAAATGACGTAAGATTTCTAGATTTATCTTCCAGTTCTATTTGGTGGAATCCAGACATTAAATCTAAGCAAGAGAAATATTTTGTTCTGCCAAGTTGATCTAGGATGTCGTCTATTCTTGGCAGTGGAAACTTGTCTGCGACGAGTTTTTTATTCAGTTGTCTGTAATCTATTACTAGTCTCCATCTTTTTTCTTTAGAGCCTGGTAGTGGCTTCTTTGGTACTAGTAAGATTGGACTGTTGTACTCGGAGTGTGATGGTTCGACTATTCCATCGTCTATCAATTTTTTCACTTGATTGTCAATCTCATCTTTGTGAGTATGCGGTACTCTATAGTTCTTAATATATACGGGTGTATTACCTTTAACTTGCAATTTTTGGCTATAGAAATTATTAGTTGTTATCGGTTCAGTTTCTAAACCAAAAATATCAGTGAATTTTGAACAAAGGTTTGTTAAGGTATTTTTAAATTGACTTGGAAATTGTTTATTTAATATGGTTAAGATTTCTGTTTTTCTACTGTTATTATTAACTTGGTTATTTGTGACAATTTCATAATCATTAATTTGTTCGGTTATGATTTTCGATTCCTCAAATTTTTCTGTGTGAAAATTTGTATTTAGAATGCGAATGAGTGCTTTATTTGCTCTTACAAGAGTGCTAGCTATAAATACACCTGGATGAATTTCCTGTTTTGGTACAAGTATATCTTGACTTGTACTTTTAATTTTTATTTGACGTATTACTTCTGATCTTGCTGGCAAGGTTAGGTATTCATTTCATGTATTTGCTATTGGTATTTCTATGTGTTGGTGAAAGTTAGGTGGACTTAGTACAAAGTAATCAAAATCTTCGTTGAAATCTAGAATACAATTGTATTTTCTGATAAAATCCATACCGATGATTCTATCACAACGTGAACGAACTAAGAAATTTTTGTACTTCAGATCGAAGTGTGTAGTTCCTATTGATTTTATTTTACTTTGTCCTATTCCACTTAATGATGTAATGATTTGTGTGTTTATTTGATCTTGTTTAAAGTGTGCAGTTTTTATTAGTGAAATATCTGCTCCTGTGTCTATTAATAATATTGTTAGTGTCATTTAATTGGACTTTTATAAAAATGCTCAAGTTAAGATTAAGATTATACACTTTTCTTTCTATTGACTTGATCTTAGGGGACTGTGAGAGTTTTCCGAATGTTCTTGGTTATTGTTAGCTATTCTAACATTATTAGTTCGACCATTTTCTTGTCGGTTATAATTGTTTCGGTTACGGTTTCCACGATAGTTGGAGTTGTTATCTCTATTACCATTATTGTTATTGTATCTTCTGTTGTTTTGTCTGTAGTTTCCTCTGTTACCACCTCTGTAGCTTTCTCTACCATTTCCTCTATTTCCATGGTAGGGTTTATTTGATCTTCCGAAGTGTAGGATAGTGTTGTGTTGTCCAGTTGCTTCGGTGCAACTTCCGACAAACTTTCCTATTGCTTCGTTCATGGAGTTGAATTGACCTGCCTGCATGATGAGTTTTACTCTATATATGGTGCAATTGTTGGTCATTGCTTTTACTGCTACTTGGGTTGAGTATTTGGTGGCTTGACTACAGGGTATGCCGTCAGCGATGTATGCGTAAGTATTAGCGGATTTACCACTTTGTCTAATGTTAAAAATTTTTGCCGATATTACTTCAATGGTTTCTCCTTTTACACATGCTGTTAGTTTTGCTATAATAGACTGAATTGTCGTCTCACTGTCTAAGAGGTTTCTGATATTGCCTTTTAGTTTAGTTTTTATTAAACTAACGGCTACTGATTCGTGGTTGCCTTTTAGTGTGTCTACTAAAGAAAGTGCATCTAAGAATGATCTTAGATTTTCTGGCTTTCCATCGAATTCAAGAATCAACCTGGTGGCAGTATTTATAAATTCTATATTTGTCTGTGCCATGTTGATTTCTTCCAGTCCTTCCTCTTCAGTAATATATCTTCTATCATAAGTTGTTGTATATTAGGTGTTATAAGGATATTGATATCAATTTGTATTGGTTCTTCAATAGTGTGTGGAACTTCTTGCTGAATATTATGACGGTTAAGGGCTTTAACTAATAAATCCCTGAGTTCCCAAAATATTTTTAATGCTTGGTTCTTATGTGTTTGTGTAAATCTGTTTTTATTTCTTGCTACTGTCTTTCTAACATCCACTATTGAACTTATTATAATGCCTAAATGTTTTCTGATTGTGTCTTGCCCTATGCTACGGTTTTGTGTAATGCATTTATAAGATTTTTTTATTATTACTGCATTAGTTTCTATGGATTTTATTATTGTTTCCCATTTATCCATGGACATAAAATTATCAAGTGAATCTAGTTTCTGGTTCTTATTCTTTCAAAATTTTTTTTATTTATTTTTAATTTTTTTTTATTAATATTAAGAGGAGTTTTCTTTCTTATTTATACCTTATCTAGTTGGTTTGCCATACTTAGATATTTCTTTTTTAATTTTTTATTGTGCATAGCGTATACATGTAGTGCTAAGTTTATAACGCTTACAATCGTAATTATGACTATATATATTTCTATTGTTTCTATATTAATTTTTTCTTCTGTTACTTCTATTTCATTTATTACGTTAGCGTTGGGCTTTTCTAATTTTGAGTCGGTATTGCCCATTCTAAAAAAATTTTGTTAAGTTCAAAAAAATTTTAACTTAAATCAATTTTAATTACAAATTTATATTTTTTTTCGTTAGTGAAAAAATTTTCATTAAAGTGAAATTTTATTTTTATATTACATTTATTTTTAATTTTTTTTTTTTGATTTTAAGATAAGATTTTTTCTTTAAAAGAATTTTTTTTTCTTTTTTTTTAATATTTTTTTTTTTTCAATTCATTTGCTAATTATTAATTTACAATTTCAATTTGTTTTTCTTAAAAATTAGTTGCCCCGAGCGATTATCGCTTACTGGCCCTATAAGTGCGAATAGGGAGCACTTCATTAATACAATCTATGGGTTTTTTCTCTTATTGTGTTGTCCGTCCTGGTCTGGCGTCCAGGAATTGTTTGATGAGGAACGTTATTTCATCTATGCGTTCCCAAATTTGGCACGATCTTCCCCAGGGTGGTGCTGGTTCTGTGTTCAGCTCACGTTGGAGGATGGCTCTTTTCCTCTTTAATTTTTGCGTGTAGCCTCCACGCCTCTTCCTTCTTGCTACTGGTGGGATTATTATTTCTTCC